GGTGGTATTGTCTGTGTCAGGGAAGTGTTAATTAACCTGGTGTTCGGATCAGAATATGTTGTTATAGATGCAATATTATTGCTTATAAGTGGGAGATAACTGATTGCCACCATCATGAGATGTGAGTTGCAGGTTTTCATGGCTTTGATTCGGTCAGCGCCATCTTAAGCAGAACCAGAGAAATGCAGAAATATGTGATGATGATGATGATGATCAGTATAAGTGGTGTGCAAATCAGGAGACCAAAGCTAATTTTTCCCATTAAAATATTCATAGAATTATAATTACATGCTAGTCTATAGACAGGACAATGATCACAAAAATAACTATCAAGCACATTAGATCCACAAAAGGAGAGTCTATTCACCAAACCTACAAATACAGAAAAAAATGTCACAGAAAAAAATCCATATCACCCCTATGATCAGAAACATGGCTGGTTTGGTTACAATGGCATGATACCGAGGAAAACAAATAGCAACCAGCCTGTCATAAGCCAAAACAAGTAGTGTCAAAGACTGCAGATTCATGGAATGAAATACAAAAAAACATATTTGCTAAACATGCTTCATATGAAATGTCCTGGTGCTCGAATAAAAATGTGTCAATGACTTTTGGATAAATAAAATGATACACATGATAAATTAATTCCCCAAAACACTCACAACCTACACTAAATACAAGAACACATAGTAGTATTTCACATGTGGGATATTAGAAAAGCCACTGAGGAAAAATGTAGCAGGATGAACAAAGGTCACAGTTGCAGAGGAGTTTGACTGCATGGAGCTCATGATTCCTGTTGTCTGTTTTTTTGTCACCTGTGATTAAGAACTGTTATAGAAATACTCTCAAAAATACAGAATATTTAAATAATTATTTATAAAATATATAAAAATGAATATTTAGAATCTATTTAGAACTTTTTGTTTTGAAGGTAAGAAAGGAATTGCAAAAAAGCTTTTCTAGGTTTCAAGCACAAAGGTTTTAAACACATTTGGCCTGTTTACAACACAATATGTGTTACAACTACAAACAAAATAAAACTTGCTCACAGCTGATAAACAGAGAGATAATTATTATTTTTAATTTCTCCTGCTGCATTTCACTCTTCTTTCTGTGGTTGTGTTCACTTTGCGTTGTTTGTACAGTTCTTTTATGGATTGCATGACCTCCTCTGACTTTAGAGTGTATATGATGGGATTCAGCATAGGTGGTATTGTCTGCGTCAAGGAAGTGTTAATTATCCGGGCATTTGGATGCAAAGGTGATATTGTAGATGCAATAGTATTACTTAAAATTGGCATATAAAAAATTGCCACCAATAGGAGATGTGAGGTACAGGTTTTTATGGCTTTGATACGGTCAACACCATCGGGAATCTTAAACAAAACCAGAGCAATGCAGAAATATGAAATGAAGATCAGTATCAGTGGTGTAAATATCAGGAGACTATAGCACATTTTAACCAAAACAATTATCAGAGAAGTATCATTACAGGCTAGTCTATAGATAGGGCCATAATCACAAAAATAAGTATCAAGCACATTGGATCCACAAAAAGAAAGTCTGGTCATAGAACCTACAAATACAGAAAAAAATGTCACAGACAAAATCCACAGCAGGCCTAAGATGAGAAACATGGCTGGTTTGGTTACAACAGCATGATAATGTAAAGGAAAACAAATAGCAACCAGTCTGTCATAAGCCAAGACAATTAGAGTTAAAGACTGCAGATTCATGAAATGATATAAAAAAAACATATTTGCAAAACACGCTTCATATGAAATGTCCTGGTGCTCGAATAAAAATGTGTCCATGACTTTTGGAATTACAGCTGAGCTTCCACACAGATCAGAAAGGGCCAGATGAAAAACAGCAATGTATTTGGCTGTGTGAAGCTTGCAGGCCAAATATATGATATACATGATAAATGAATTCGCTAAAACAGTCACAACATACACTAAAGACAAGAACACAAAGTAGTATTTCACATGTGGGATATTAGAAAAGCCAATGAGGAAAAATGTAGCAGGACGAACAAAGGTCATATTTGCAGATGAGTTTGACTGCATGGAGCTCATGATGACTGTTGTCTGGCTTTTTGTCACCTGTGATGAAGAACTGTTATAGAAATACACTCAAATACAGAATATTCAGATAATTATTTAATTCGCAGTCTCAGTGCATTTATGGACAAATATGTTTGGATGTTCTTTGATATAACCTTACTGAACTAATAATAAAAAAAAATGTTGTTTCAGTAAAATCATTAGATAGAAACAGAAGAAACACATGGTTCATACTTTACCTTCTCCAAACTGGAACCATCTCATAAATTTACCAGCCATCAGCAAATATATAGTTAGATTATTCTCTTGAGCTTGGGACCTTTTTCTCTATAGACTTGAGGATAAATGGGCAGGAATCTATTTAATCTATTTAATCATGGGAAAATCAGCAGTGCTACTGTCCACAGAGCATCACTGTTAGCAGCCATCAAACTAATGGTATGCTAATCATGGGTGGATAGGAGTAAGTCCATTGTACCAAGAAACAATGTTTTATAGGATAAATATAGAAGGGTGCAAAACATACAAGAGCATCATGGTTCCAAATATATTTTGATAATTAAAACAACAGCATATTTTATAATGCTTGAAAAGACAAAAATGTAATTGTTATTGAATAACTTACATTTCAGACACAGTTACTTTGTCTATATTTGCCAATAAAAATAGTTTGATACTAAACCAAAGCAGAGTAAACTATTTATTTCTGAGCAACACGTAGTCCACCTAATTTTTCAACCCAGAAGTAAGCTATTTTCTGCGAACATGCGTGACTTCACAAGTAAATAAAGAATAGGTTAAAAAAAACTAGATGAATAACAAGTCTCATAAATGGTAAATCTATTTGTGCTACAAATCAGTGTGTTTATGATTACAATAATAAATTAAAACAATGTTAACAAATATATGAGAATCAGAAAAAGCTTTGTTGCCAAATATGCTTACACACACACACACAAAGTGTTTGTCTTGGTGACAAAAATAGATAGGAATCACATACATACGATTCAAGCAGCAAACAGATGGCACAAGAAGCCTCGCTTATTCTAGAAGCCTCTTAAAGCAATAGATCACCCGAAATAAAAATTCTGACAGTTAATCACTCTCTAGTTGTTCCAAACCTGTATGAGTTTCTTTCTTCTGTTGAACATAAAAGATGATATTTTGAAGAATGTGAGTAACTAAACAGTTGCTGAGGGCCCTTGAATTCCATAGTATGGGGGGGGAAAAAAATACAATAAATTAGGGACCAGAAACTGTTTGGTTACCCACATTCTTCAAAATATCTTATTTTGTGTTCAATAGAAGAAAGAAATTCATTGAAATCAAAAACTAATTCCAGTGGAGGTGAAGGGGAGCAGCCACTGGAGGGCGCTTTCTAGGAGCGGGCACTGGAGAGCGCTCTGAGCTGGGTTCAGGGGCTGGAGCCCTTCCTGGGCGGAACTGGGGATCAGGAGCCCTTCCTGGGCTGAACGAAAAATCAGGAGCCCTTCCGGGGCTGAACTGGGGATCAGGAGCCCTTCCTGGGCTAAACGAAACATCAGGAGCCCTTCCTGGGCTGAACGAAA